CTCCTGTCAAAATGGTGGCAATTTTTGCGAGGTGAGATTGAACGCGAAGAAGAAATATTGAAGGAGGTCCCACAGGACGGTGATGAGGCAAGCAGATATGCGTCTGGAGCGTATGGCCGCTCAGTCCGCTGAACAGCAAGAGGCAGCGAATGTTTAGCTCCGGAATAGGAGAGCGGTGCAGTCTGCTGAGCAGCTTGATGCAAGGAACGCAGCACTCAGGTGTCAAAAGCCGGGGGATGGCCGGGAATTGAACCCGGACTTCTTGCTTGCCGGTCAGGCAAGCATTGCTACATTGAATGTGCAATTCCGTGGTGTATTGGTGCATTGCATGCACCATTACACCACGGAACTCAGAACATTTTGTCATGCCTCTTCCTGTCATCTCAATAATTACAGTCGTTAGTCACAGCGAACACTGTCAGGCTGTCCATTTTGATGCAGGGAGGGGGCATTTGTTTCACATTGCTGGCACAACTCCTGCTGCAACTCACACTTTAGCACCAGTGATCTACACTTTCAGAGCCTCAGGGTAATGTGGCGGCGAGGTATTTTCAGGAATTAGTCGTCTATGGTCCGTACTGTTTCAGAATCATTGGTTTCTGTATCATACGCTAACGCTAATTGCCCATGAGCTAACAGGTGAGGCAAGAATACTGAATGTGCTAGGAAGACGAAATTAGCAAAGTCGCCTCATGAAAATGTGCTAAACCGCAATGGCGATTGTGGCAATTAGCTGGGATATCATGATGATGGTGTTTAGAAGCAGAGTCTCCCTGTGTACTGTAAGCTATGTGTATAAATGTAATGAAGTGGTTCAGTTCCGATTGGGTATTGCGATGAACAGAGCCAAGAAGACGTTATGCTGACAATAGACGACGATTCAAATTTCTACCTATTGGACGACCAGCGTAGCGGCCGCTAGTACCCTTATAATATGAATTTGAGGAATTCCATTGCTTTACAAAGCATTTAAGATTGATTTTACTCAGTCACAGATCATGTAGGGCATCGAATATATTCTAAATAGGAGTGGCTTATAGTTATTTATTGGTTATTTATGGAAACGGAAATTGGCCAGAATTATTTGTTAGAGGAATTAATCATTCGCACTCCACCACAATAGTGCCATCTCTTCAGGAGGAGCATACCCGGATTTCCATCGAAAATAAACATTCTAAAAAGAAACTCCGCTGACAGAATAACACCCACAAACTAGCGTAGATGGTTGGGTTAGCGTCACGTAGATGCCGCGCATGTTGACAAATTATAGGTGGGTTAGGTGACTAGAGATGTTTCAATTTATTATGATGCAGAATGCGGGAAGAGATCGTCAAGTGCACAGTTGACTCCATAAAAAAGTCAAAATCGAGAGTTCACTGGAGGCACAATGGAATAGAGAATGGAAATAAGTAATGTTTTCATTGAAGTTGAAAAGCCTATGTCAAGTCTAAGAATGTGAACATATCTGATTAATTGAGAGAGAAAGAGTGGTCTTGTAATTGGTGATTTTTCCTAATTTTTTATGTGTGCAACGTGGACATTACCGTATTGCGCGATTATGATTGTAGCATGCACAGCACATCGTGCAGATGTCGCATAAGAGCATTGCAGACCCTGGTGGTAGGAGGCTGGACTTTTTGATTCCTCGAAGTGACAATATAGAACGAGAGTTGCAAGCTACCGGTACTGTCTGATTCAGTTAGGGCGAGAGTTAGGAGAGAGACGAATCCCACATTTGTATGTCCTTCCCTCTCGCTCGTCTCCGCCTCCGATGTTTCTATGCAGCGATCCCGTCGACTCGCTACTTGAGAGAAAAAATTCACTCGGTTCTTCCTGTTCCCGACCTTGATGGACGAGATTTTCAAGGTCTCTTTCCGTCGAAATGTACGGAATGTTTACGTGAGGTTACGCAAACGTAAAGGGAGTGCATGCTATGGTAGCTTGTCATGATGAAATAGATGGAATCGTGAAAGTCTCTGATCTATTATGGGCAATTTTTGCCATCAGATACGGCATTAAAGAAATAATTAAACTCGGATCTCCTCCCGTATTGCGATGAATATGATGTCTAGAAACTCGATACTTTCGAAAGCGCCCGATCGCAGTCCGAGAAGAGAATCGAGAAGTAGACACAGACGACCATAGACATCCGATGCTCTGCTTTTCACGGGATCATTCATGACTTTAAGCGCTACACGTTGGGAGTGACTCATTTGACGAGCAAGAGAGGCCCCGTGGACTTGCCTTCGCGCCAGTTGGATATATACAATGGGGCTCAAAGTAATTTTCTTCACAGCAGCAGCAATGCGGTTACGCAAATTTGGTAGGTCTGCCACTCATTTGTACAGCTCAGACTTTGCATGGGGTTTTTATAAAGAAATCTAAAGGTGTTTGGCGGCAAGATCTCCGGATTTGTTTCCGCCACGAAAATGTTCATTGGGGTGAGTTCGAACAATGTTTGCGTAATGACAAGGAGCCCCATCTTGTTGAAAGACAATAGTATTGAGAATGCCATCTGGGAGAAGCTGGGGCTCTAGGAATTGAAGCATGTCAAGGTAAAAGGTGCTGTCACTGTAACCACTGCCAAGAAAAAGGGGCCGTAAATCATTGACTTGTCATTCCCATCCAGACATTAACTTGGAGAATCTCTTTTCCACTCGTAGAACTCGGTTGGCTTTTCACTAGCCCAGATTCGATAAATGTGTTGTGTCGATTCACAGACGTGGAAAGTGAACAAATTGAGAATGAAGATTTAATGGATCACATTCTCTTCAGCGATGAAGCCAACTAGTTCAGCATACTTGTAGGGTCCAGAATGTATATCTCTTCATGTATATCGTAGCACTTGAATGTGGTAACTTCTCTTTTTTAAGGTTGATTTGAACTTTTTCACGCATGGTGTCTACTATAGTGGACGGCAATATTATTGGTGATGATGGTTTATTAGATACTGTACACATGTCACCATGTGTACAGTATCTAATTGAGCTTGACTCGCTGAACGTTCATTTCGTCGAATGACGACTCGCCAGCTTACAATTCACCGACTGCTCAACTCGTCGAATTTTATGAGTCAATATTAACCGATTGTTCGACTCGAAAGCTTAATTTCTTGAAATATATACTGGCGAGTAGAACTCTGGTATGCAGTTGACTAACTTAATGAAACGTTGCAAACCATTTTTGCTTCGTACATGGTAACCGAATGTGTCAACACCTGGAATACATTTTTTTATTACAATAGTTAGATTTAGAAGGATGAGGTTAAAAGAAACATCGAAGCCATTCAAATTCTTGAAGAAAATGTTTTTTTTTTGTCAAGTCATCGTTCAGCAGAAACATAATTATGAGCAATACTCATTTCTTCTGGGGCATTGGAAGCTGATGCCCAGCCCCAAGGCGCTCCGATAGAGCTGCTACAGAAGCTTCAGAGCCAGGGCTCGCACTGAAGCTTTGTTTACCGAGCCGCTGAAGGTTTGTGCAATCCCTCCACGGAATTGTTGATTCTGGGGAGGCCAGCAACGGGATGCTGGTACTGCGGCGACGTCCACCTCTTCCAATATTTCCAATGTAGTTGGACTCGAAAAAGTGAACAATCGGGTCGAGCTCTCGAGGGTAGCCTGGAGCATCAGTCAGGGCCTCGAACGCTGGAATATCTCCTTCGAGGACAAATGCCAGCGCAGGCAAGCATTTGCACCATAAAGCAAACGCTATGTCGTCAGCGTAGCGAGTTTGGAGTCCAGCTTCTTTTACCCGACGTCAGATGCTCTGAGCAAGATGGTAAAAACAGCCTTTTAAAGTAGCACACGAGAATCGCTGACGGAAGGTTGAAATAGCTGCCACCTCGAAATCCAGCATGATGGATTGTGGAGCAATACCGTATATGTGTCATATGTGTTCATATGTGTTCACAGGGGAGGGTAGTGTCATGTACTCGAACGGGTTTATCCATTTGCGACCCCTTTCACTCCTTTTTTTATCCTCGCCATCGGGCATGAACCCAGCCCCCTCACCTTGGGCCGGAGGACTACTTTCTCCGGCCAGCTTTGCCCTTAAATAGGGGAGGTCCTCCGACATTCAGGATCGGCAGAGCATTCTCCGGGCATTCCCGAGGCATTCATGGACCTTCTCCTCCTCGGCAGTGCAACTCTCGCCTGCCATTCCTTCTACTCCTCGGCAGTGCAACTCTCGCCTGCCATTTCTTCTACTCGGCAGTGCAACTCTCGCCTGCCATTTCTTCTACTCCTCGGCAGTGCAACTCTCGCCTGCCATTTCTTCCACTCCTCGGCAGTGCAACTCTCGCCTGCCATTTCTTCCACTCCTCGGCAGTGCAACTCTCGCCTGCCATTTCCTCTACTCCTCGGCAGTGCAACTCTCGCCTGCCATTTCTTCCACTCCTCGGCAGTGCAACTCTTCGCTTGCGAACCCTTGATATTACCAGGACGGATGGAAGGATGTGCGAGCGAAATTTCAGCATTCTACAATCATTCTTAATGCCTTATGGAATAAACATTTAAATTGCCCTTGCAGTACCTATGTCCTTATCGTACCTTGAAACACATCCAAGTATCCCCTAGAAGCAGCGCCAAATAAATTTCTGCATGAAAAACCTTTAATCTCAACTTACAATTTGTTCATAAGAAATTATAATTTCCCCCGTTGAGATGCAGAAAATTGTCAAGAAAACCCTCCACCCATGGCGATGAGTTCAATGAATGATGGAAAGTGTTCTAGTGAAAACATTTTCAAGTACCAGCAAGTGGATATGATAATTTACGTGTACCTACGCTAGTTACCCATAATACCCTACATCTAGTTTAAAATACTTGCAAGGAGTTCGAGCTCCCAAAATCCATATTTGTGTCACATGTTTCTTGCACACTAGGTGTCTCACACTGAGAAATATATCAACTCCATTTCATGTCATCGATTTCGAGTCCGTGAACCATTTCGTCCGAGGAACAGAAATGCTCATGACATGAGACATGGCATTGCGAGATGGACGGTGCTGAAAATGGGTCATTAAGTGGAAGGGAACCAAATGACCATCATTCAATGGGGTCTTGTCGTCTCCAAGAGGTGAGACCCAACGGCACGCGTACAGAGAGAGTCGCGACGATTCGATTAGTGATTGGAGCCTCGGACGATCTTCTTTCTGCAAGAAAGCAATTTGCAGCGGATGCGGGAACAAGCCCAGTCGACCAAGTCGAAGATGGTGACGATGGAAACGCCGAGACAGATTCCGACGATTCCCCCGATGTCGGAGAGAAGCTCTAGGATGGTCGTCTTTTCCTGTTCCACGAAGGTAGACACCTATCAGGATACATAGGAATCGATTCGAGCTCGTTTGTTTCCCTGAAAATGACAAATTAGCGGTTAATGAGGGAAAGGAAGATGGGACGAACCCGACGCGAGGGAAAGTTGAAGAAGAGAGTGGCAGACCCGGTATTACGAGAAAACTCAGAAACCTTGAAACCGTTCGAGTTTGATTCGGGGAAGATATAATAGATGGACCTGTGACACCTCTTTGGACAACTGCAATTCTTTCCTAGCTCGGATTCAGGATCCATGAAATATTTTCTGGCTTTCTCCAGTTCCTCGAGCATCACCTTGCTATTGTTTGGATCTAAACATACAGGCTTCGTCAGGTTGACCTCCTTTGTGATCAGGATGGGGTCGAGACACGGCAGTTGTGGACGGGACTGGACCCATCCCCAGAAGCAATTCTCCATACACTATATATAGATAAGTAACAGCTCCTTCAGCGTGGATATGAAGAAGTTCCTTCAGGATACCCAACGCATCTTTAAACGCATCTTATCGTCTGCTTGCTTTCGCTCACCCTGACGTAGCTATGGCCTTTATGCATGATGCAGGGCCTTCTCCGCTTCTTCAGTTTCCTGGCGTAGTCTGAACGAATGAAGAGATTGGCGGTGGTGTTCTTGAATACGAATGCGTTTTCGATCGCCATTAGGCCCAGATTGCTAAATTTCTCCGCTTGCTCGTGGATGTAAACTTCGACTAGTGAGGGAATCTGCCAACGAACCAAATGAACCAAATTCATTTCCCCTGAATTCCCGAGGCCAACGTCCCCTCGTATGCAATTCAACGGAATGCTCCCCACCTCTTCGTGCTTGGACTTCGAGATCGACGTGAAATCGAAGATGAAATACATGGAATTATAAACGCGGTTGGTCGTCCCAGCAGGCATTTCGTCTCTCAAGGCCAGCGTGAAGCACTTGAAGATCTCTGGAGGATTTCGCACGTCGCCAACCTCCCAGAAGGTCCGCTCGCTCCAGCTCCCTATAAAAAGAAACAAATTCATTAGAAAATTACTTTTTCCCTCATTTTAATTGAAATCTCGATATCGTTTACCGTTTACAAGGACGAAGGTGGTTTCTCCATTGGCTGATGAAACGGACGTGAAATTTAGTCCTTCGAAGGGAGCATGGGAGATGAATTCGGTCAAGGAGACGGAGGCATTCTTGAGAGCACTGAATTGGTTATTTGCACTTCCCTTGAAAGAAGCTTTCAGGGTCGGTTTCGGGCAGAAGGTGAATGCCGGAGCAGGGATCTTGTCAACTATTTTGGCTATGTGAGATGTAGTGGTCGTCGAGGACAGGTAATCGTCGATGAGGGAGATAACCTACTGATTCAAATTGGATTTTCATATCCGGTTCATGTTGAATAGCATACGTAATTATGCTTAACGAACACCTACCTGCCTCAGAGCGATTACTAAACACACCAGGATCACGACCGCTTTGAAGACCAGCCGTCTCTTCGTTCTTCTGCTCCAGTCTTGGCGAAGGGAAACTCTTTGCCACTCTCTCATTGCGCCCATATAGGGGTTGCGCATGACATCGACCTTACTTTCTCCTTGGCGTTTCTGAGCTGGGACATACTTGGATGCCTCCTCCCTCGCCCAGCTCTCGACTTGAATGCTGCACATCCTTGTGTGGGATCCTACGATTCCATAGCACGAACAGAGACATTTAATATCCTTCTAATCCGAGAAAATACGTTCTTTTTCACTGTGACACCAACTATGGAAATTCCACGTTTGTTATTCCCTTGTTTCAAAATGGAAACTCTACAAAGTACTTTTACAGAAAGTTAAAAGAGTCTGGTTCGCATCTGTATGGAAACGAAAGTTATTGAAATTACAATAATGAAAAGTTTTCTCCAATGAGTTTTAGGGAATTTGAACATTTAGAAAATATATTTCGTTTCATGCCATACATTTTCTTCCTCCAAGCCTTGTCCTTGTCATAGTTTTTTTTATTGCGTACTGTATTTTTTTTCCTCCAGTGAGAAGCACTGTAAGAGCTGAGTGTGATGGTGCGTTTGGAGCAAAAGAACCGAAGATGGAAAAGAATGTTGAGTTTTACAGCAAAATTCTAAACTCTCTTCTGGGGATTTCCCTCTCAAGCCATACTTTTAACCAATTCGTCAATCTAATATCGATGTAAATTCGTCAGTGACCCTTATATACTAATAATTATCCACTAATGCCGTCCAAATGGAGTGATATACATAAATCGTACCGATTGATAGACAACTTTACATGAGGCAATCGAAACGACAATTAAGTGAGCCAAGCGCATGTGATATCAGGCATTCTATTCGACGGCTAGGTCAGCGGATGGGTTAACAAGGTACGACGTGATGGCACTGGATGGCTGGGAAGCTGTCTCACGATACTCAGAAAAGTGGAATTTTTGAGAATCGAAGTTTTAGCAACGGTTGCATTTTTCCTGAAAAATCCTAGTCTGCAAACTTTCATTGAACACATTTTAGAGGATTTTTCATGATGAAGAGGCAAATCTGCCCTTCCTACAGTATGATTTATAATGCTGAAAACACGAAGTGTATTTTGCGGCACATGATATTCCGCCGATGAATACAAGTCTAAACCGTTCGAAACTCAACCACTTCAAATTATTACTCAGCTGCTATTTCCGTTGGAAAAAATGTCTCTTCCATCATGACCGGTATTCAATTAAATATACTAGACAATGAAGACAATGGGCAACAAAGTACCAGAAGAGATCAGCCAGGAATGGAAAATGGAAGTGAACCGTGCACTGAAGGAATCTCACCCACGAGAAGGTGCAACGCTGCTCCTCTTTCTAGAGGGGCTTCGGTGGGAGTGGATGCATCACCTTCTGGCAGATCCCCAATTAGCAAGAGTCCGTTTTTTCCTCATCAGCGGGACAGGGTCAACATGTTTCTGTCAATCTTATGTCCAACCTTTGCGCTTGAGGTGCGTCGTCGTTAGATTCTATCGCCTTGCGGACGATGTGTACGTACTCGCTTTGTTCCTGTACAATCTCAATGTCTTCATCTTTACGTAATTGGCCTTCGCCGGCACAAAAGTTTTTGACGAGGCTATTGTGTTACCCTTTCAAGATGGAGCAAATATATTTCGAAGTCATGCTGTAATTGTCCCCATATGGGTCAGACTCAGGTATTGCTCTAAGCTAATTTTTTGGGATATATTAAAAAAAACTCAAGGAAGTGCTATGTTGCAGCGGACAGAAAAGGCGTTCTCGTTGCGGACGCCAGAGTCACGTGGGTCAATAGTTTAAAAGTAAATTCAAGGAATGCTGGAAGGGTGGTAATAAAAATTCTGAATTAAGTCGGTGACTCAGGGGATCAGCTCTTCCATCGCATACTGCTATGCGTTTCTGTCATAATTACGAGCCGGATCAATTGGAAGATGAAATCGTATGGTGGAAATGACTGAAATATCAAAGAAAGTATTTAAATTGCAAAGAATACTATGAAGAATACTATGAAGAATACTATGAAGAATACTATGAAGAATACTCACTCGGAGGTGGAAAGCTGTTGTCGTCCTCCTTGCAGAGCTTCTGCGAGAATGGGCAAGTGCTTTTAGGAGAGTACTCTTCATACGTGAGTCATTAATGATAATTCACGTCGGAGTCGCCCACATGCTCTTCGTTCGCTGCTTTCAACAGGCCAACCCCAGCCTCTGACATCTCCGAAGCAGTTCATGTCGATTTCTTTCCGATCATTTTGCCGGGAATGTTTGCATTCGCCCTCATCATATTTGAAGACAATGTCAGCATTGAAACCTATCTGTCATTCCAGGCAGTTTCTCCTCTGACGAAGGAAAAACGGGAGACACCAAGCAATCGTGCTTGGCTTCGAAGGAAGTATTGCCAGGAAAAGTTAAACTGCCTTCACTTGCTTCCAGGTTCGTGTAGTTAAGTTCAAAAAGACAGTGTGAACTGGAAAACAATCTCCAGTGATAAGTTGCACGTGTATCGGTGAGATTGATTTCTAAAAAATTTGAAAATTCGTCAATCCTTCACAAGAGTCGTTGTTGATCATACAATGATGCGGAAAATAAAACCGATCATAACACATTTCTGAAGAATACAAGAAATTTCCTTATTGGACATGCTCAAATCAAGAAGAAAGTGAGAAAATGTATTGTGCACGGATGCCTCAACGTGTTTGATACTTTGCTTTTGTTTTCCGCTTTGCATTTTTTTTTTTGAAATGACAAATGGCACGTTAGTTGTCGAGCACGTTATTGAACCCGATGGTCTGCTCGAGCTCTGAAATAGTCTGACCCACGAAAAGCTGCAAGGTTGGTCTTCTAGCAGGCGAAGCTTCGGTGGGAGTGGATGCATCATCTTCTGGCAGATACCCCATTAGCAGGAGTCAGTTTTTTCCTCATCAGCGGACAGGATCCACATGTTAGTGTCAATGTCATGTTCTCCCCTTTGTGGCTTAGGTGGTTTATCGTTAGATACTATCGCCTTGAGGACGATGTGCACACATTCGCTTTATTCCTGTAGATAAAAAAGTGTTATCCTATACATAATTGGCAACCATCGATACAATAGGTACATCGGTGAGGATATTTCATGAACTTATCATGACAGAATGAATGTACTGAGGTCATGCTGTACTTGTATCGGTTTGACCCAGGTATCGGACAAAGCGGAAATTTAGGGATCGAACATGAAAAAAGGAACCGAATTTGGCTTTTTTTGCCTTCCATGTCCCGGTACTCATTCCCCCTCCGTAACATTATTTTTCCTTGAGTAAAACGGAGACATGGAAAGCTGAACCTTGGCATGGACGTGCCTATTGAGACGATGAATTCAGAAAAAATGAAAAAATTTAGATCCATGCCCTGGGGGCATATTATTGTGAGCCGACGTTTTCAAGTATTTCTTTGTCCTGGCGTATTGAGCCAGCGTGGAAAGATTAAACTTGGTACATAACTACCTATTGGGATGCTGCAGAAAATTTCAGACTTTAGAAGTAAATGCCATGGGGGCACAAATTTCAAAGGGAAATGTTTTCAATTAATTTTTGCTTCAGTTAAACTGATGAACATGGAAAGCTGAAACTTTGCATGAATCTGACTACTGAGGCAAAGCGTTAAAGAAAAATGTCGAGTCTCGATTCATCCCATGGGGGAATTTTTTCGAGGGGCGATGTTTTGGAAAAAAAATTTTTGTGGCGAATTGAGAAAAATGGAATGGTGAAACTTGGCACATGTATAAGTGACACGATATTACTGAGCTAAGGAGTATTCAGCCTTCATGGGGCATCCCCTCCGAGCATAGCTTTTGGGTCAGTCGGCTTTTCCAAGCATGTTTTTTCACCAGGGAAAAGGGCAAACTTATATTATTGAAACTTTATGGGCATGTAGTTCACTGGGCAAACATAGAAAAGTAGATGGCGCACGCATCACTGACGTGATGTTGATTTAAGGAAAAATGAAACTTTTTTATAGTCTCCTCAGAGCACAGCTTTTGGGTGGGTCGCGTTTCCAAATACACTTTTTCCGCCAGCAAAAAGGGGAAACGTTTAAGGTTGAAACTGGGTGGTATGGAGTTCCTGAGTCTACATTTCAAAAGAAAAAAATATTTTGTTAAAACCTATCAGAGCACTTTTTTCAGTGTCATTTTCCTGATTTTTTTTGATCCAGCGAACGAGAGACAGGAAATTTAAACTTCCCACAGAAGTACCTGTTTGATGGCTGAGTATAGGAAAAATCCTAATTTTGAAATATGTCGCCTTAAAGTAGATTATTAGAGGGAAGTATTTCAAAATATAGTTCTCCAGCCTAATAAAAAGGGACACAATAAAAGATTTCAAGTTAGGCACACTAGATGTCATGAAAGTAATGATTTTGATAAAAACAAGACTTTCGTCCCCAAAAGTCACGTATTTCAATGAGTAAGTATTTTTTTTTTCTTCATGAGTTTTCTTTGGAAATATATGACATGATTACATTTGTCGACTGGTAGAGATTCCTCGCTTGGAATTTTCTAATGGAAGTTGCAACGTCGGCTGCTTTTTGCCCAGGCAACCTAGAGACTTCAAACTTGCGTGAAACACATTTTTCAGCATTTTCTGTGCATGACAAAAATCGAAAAACCTGCCACTCCTTCAGTGGGATTTATAATGTCTCAACCAAGACGCGATTTTTGCACCACCCGGTTTTCCATTGATTGCTTGAGTAAAAAAAAAAACAGGTCGTAACTCAACTCCTTGAAATGTTTACACATGTATAATATTCCCGCTGCTAAGTTATGTCACTTCTACATGCATGCAGTTGAAGTGAAAACAAGTGAAATTGCCTCAACCACGAGAAGTTGCAACGCTGCTCTTATTCCCGGCAGAGCTTCGATTGGAGTGGATGACGAAGCCCTTCTTGTCATATCCCCAATTAGCAAGAGTTTTTCCCCATCAGCGGACAGAGACTCAGCGGACAAGGGGAAGACTCGCGTCCGCCCCTTGTGGCTGAGGCGGTTCGTCGTTAGGTTGTGCATAATCGCATTGTTCCTGTACAATGAATATGTGTTCATCCTTCCATAATTGGCTTTCTTCGGTACATAAGCCCTGGACGAGACTATAGTATACGCCTATCAAGATAGGCCTAATAATTAGAGGTTACAC